ATTTTTTTGGGGACTGGTGGAAAAAAAAACAATTTTTTTTTTTTTTTTTTTTTTTGCAAGTTAATCAAAGAACACAACACAACACGAAGGCATGGGTGTTGCCGTGTTGGCTTTTTGGAGGAGTGAAATATTTAAACCGACAGATAGCGTTTATACATAAACATAAGTTACATAACTCCACCTTCCATTAAATGCAATATAACCGACCAACGAATGAGTATATAACCTCCTCCCAATCACAAGCAACACAAAAAAAAAAAAACCCTAAAAAAAGAGAGAGATGGGGAAGTCGAGTGCATTAATGGCGGCAACAATGGCGGTGCTTCTAGTGATGGCCTCCATGGGAGGAGCAGAAGCAGCTCCATGGTGGAAAAAGGCTACGGATTCCGTCGCGAATTTCATGTGGTTCGCTGCCATTTTCGACGTAAGGGAGGGAGATTTCTGCTTCAGAATCATTCTCAACAGATTGGTGAATCCTGAATGCACTGAGGCCAAACTCATCGAGAAAAAAATCGAACGACGCCGAAAATGCGGCAATCAGCCCATCAACATGTTCGGTAGATGCTAAATATATATATTTCTCTACGACCCATGTTTCAATTTCATGTCTTTTCATCCGACAAATAAACTTCTATTTTAATATATGATCATCGGGAGATTTTACGGCATAAAAAAAAACTCATGCATGGACCACGTTCATTATTCAGGAGCTTAAAAAGGAAAACGTTGGATACAACCGTCAAAAAAAAAACATTACATGACAGTCCAAAAATCTTAGGTTAGTAACCTAGTTGCTTGCTACGTTTTAGAAATGTGTAGGACCCCAAACACGACCCACAGTGCTAATCAATTCAATAAAAGACGAGGGACCATATCACCTAAAAATAAATAAATATCATAACCCTTTTTTTAATCATATTTCAGTGCTTTTATTTTTATTTTAAAAAAAATAAACACCCTTCAAAAACCCGTTGAAAAGAGGCAGACTAAATCGGAAAAACTTCAACCTTTTCATTGTGACTTGAATTTGTTCCATAATCACACTTTTAATTTATTCGCCTAACAGTATCATAAATCCATATCTTTCGTGGATTTGATTTGTCCACTACAAAAACACCCTTTTAATTAACCATAATCCCATCGGCTTAAAAACCAGTCTCCAAACAAAAAGATTAAAACTTGACAGAAACTAAGAACACCCATTGTCGGAAAGTGAAAGATCAGTCCATCCATCCGTACATAGACACCATACAATTGCCCCCAGTTCTTCAAATTACCATCGCCACCCTCCGATTAGTCGGCGGTCCAGCTCTGCTCCACGATCTCCCGGACACGCCGGTTGTACTCCCTCTTGCTCTCTCCGAACAAACGTGCAGCCTCAGAATTTGCCGGTGAATTCGGGTTCGGATCACAGAGCAGTGACTGAAGTCATTACAGATCATGCAAAAAAGTTTTTTAAGCTTCTTTCTTGGTGAGGGAAAACCCAAAAAAGATTATTTTTTTTTTTACCTGAATAGATGTAAGAATAGCTGCAACATCGTAAATGGGGCTCCACTGGTTCTGAAGGATATCCAGACATATACTTCCATCTGCATAGACTGAAGTGCACATGAAAGAAGACAGAGGTTGAGAATCAAAGATATTAGAGAAGATGTGAAATGAAAATGATTTATAGTTCCTAAGAACTTACTATTTGGGTGGAACATCCGAGAAACAAAGCGGACAGTCGGTGGCTTATTCGGATAATCCTCACTAAATTGAAGGGTTAACTTAAAAGTGCCTGAAAATTTCAAAAGGCATCAACACCATTAACGGATTCGAACACTAGCAGAAGCCTACAAGGCAACATATAATGGAAAGAGAAATGCATTCACATTCACAGAACTAAAGTCCACGCCAGACAAACACAAAGGTATAGACTTTACATCACTGAACATAATGCGGACACCGTAAACCAAAAGACAGAGATGGCAACGAATACCGAAAATCTAGTTCCCACCCTACAAATATATATACATACACAAACAATGAATCCAGTTACCTCCATCCCATGGCGTGTCATCGGGGCTGCAGCACAGAAAACGCAAGGAAAAAAAGGGGTGTAATTAGCAATCATGCCTAGATTTATGAATGCACAAGAAAAAACAGCTCTAGGGTTTCGAATTGGGAATACCCGAAGATGACAGCATTCCAGAGCATGATGTTGTTGTCCTGAGGAGCACCGCTGATGCCGGCAGGCGGGTCTTGCTGCAATCTCCTGAAGTCCCTCATGAGTCTCTTCCTCGCCGGAGTCGACATCCTCCTCACTCTGTATCTTGAATAAGAGCAACAATGGCGAAACTCAGGACAACACTTTTATGTCTTAGCAACCAGAGCATGTCAGCAACGTACGTATACCACAATTATCTCAGGGGCGTACATATAAGTACCTACGAGGACACGAGCACGAAACCCTATGTTCATGTCTCAACATGAGCTAGAAACCCAGAACCGGAATTACGAACCCTAGCTAAGAACTCAACCCAAATCTACCCAGAGAAGCATGAAAATTCCCCAATCGAAAGAAAACCCTAGATCCTAAACATCACGACAAAGTTGCAAACTTTCAGAGCATGGAAGCAGGATAAAAGGAGGAAAACCCTAGGAGGACATGGGAGCATGGAAGCAGGATAAAAGGAGGAAAGCCATAGAAGAAACAAGATAAGTACCTCTGGGGAAACCGGCGGAAGAAGAGATCAGGACATGGGAGGGGAAATGATGAGGAGGACAAAACAAAAGAGGAAGGTCTAAATAGAGAGTACGGTTCAGTCAGCGAGGTTCCCACCAGTGGTGTTCGCTTGTCTGAAGGTGGCAAGTTGACAACAATCGCTGCGTTAAGGAAACGCTCCTTCTTTTAAAATAGATTTATTCCAGAAACCTCTTATTTGATATTGCTAATATGTTTATTACATCAATGGTTAATTACTTAGTTAATCATCGTATAAATCTCTACGAACTCAGTGGCATTAGACTCAACTGAAAAAGATTTGATTGAATGGGGGGTTTTGATCCAAAAAGCATTCCACAAACAGCATCTCCATCTACCGCCATTGATGACCCTTTCATTATAACCCAACCACCCACTCGCATCAGAACTATACATCACATCACTCATGTCTTCTCCAAAAGAGATTCAGACATGCTTTTGTACTAATTCAAAACTCTACAATGTCATGTTCATGAACCCCTTTTGTCTCTTTTCAGAACAAAGAAAAGACTCAACGCATATAGCACCATGTGAAAAGCCAAAGGCTTTTATAAAGGATTAGACTAAAGCTGCAGAGTGTGTTCTCATCTGCTCAGCACTTCTTTCACTGAGAATCCCAATCAGTTCTTGAACTAGTTTGGACGTTCAAACATGAAACATGACATCGCATAAAGCTTGTTCTCCTCTCCAGCTGTAAATATATACTTAATACACCGACTTTGAAGCCAGAGCTGTTTATTACACTGCCTAAGGCTGAATCGGGTTTGCCCGTTATCGCCAAGAATGCTTTACCGTATTCATCCCCTGAGCTATCGATCTTAATGGCAAAGCCCCTCACAGTGAGATGCCTTCCCTAAAAGAGAGACCAAAAAAAAAAGATGGTTCAGCATGCATTTTGGTGTTGCATTCAACCGAAGAAATTTCAGATTCAAGAGATGATACTATAATGCAACCTAACTGAGCAGATTGACTTAACGGTGAATCAACTTAATTTTATGTTTCAATGGATATGGTCCAGTGGATTAGTGGGGGAGTGTGGTAAAGAAAGAGTGTAACCTGATGTTGGAGAAGACTTCAGGTTGGACGGGAGAAGCAAATATCTGAGATTTTGAATGTCTCTCATGCTAATGTTTCCGACAATCTTCTTCTTTGTTCCCTTGACAGCAGGGAGACAACCACCTATGTTGTTTGTCTCTCATCCGCTTAAATGGCTCTGGATGCTAATAAGTAACAACAGCCTAAAACCCAATACGATAGGTATCACTGATTTCAAGCATCCTTTTTTTCTCTTGTAATATTATGCGAAGAGAACAGAACTAAGAGCTCTAACCTCCTCTGGTGACATGAAAGGGAGGCTGAGATCAGATCTCAGGAGAGCAGAAATGTGATTAAACCAATCCCGGTTCAACCACAGGGTCATTTTCTGGCCTGTATTTGGTTTGCAGAGTAGTAATACAAATGCCCAACATAGAATTCTCGGCGGAAACTGGAAGAAAGGTAGCCCAACTGACGGGTTTAAGTACCATTCTTACCTGGCTATGAAAAACGAAGAAACGTCAAAACCCATGCACGATTTCACGTTAAGCCAGAAATATATTATGGCATAGGATTATACAGAAGAGACTGAATACCCGAGAATAGAATACTCATACCTGTTTTAGTCAAGCATAAGAACAAACATTCATGTCAATTAACTTCAATGTTGCCAATTTCAGATTCAATCTTTACTTTGATAGCACCAGCTGCTGCGGCCTATAATACACGCACGGCTCAACGGGTTTCTATCAACTCTCTCAAGCACTCGGAAAATTATTGAGGGAGAGGAATAGTTTATGATCCAAGGAGTTCTCAGAAGAACCCATAATTTTTTTTCATGGGGGTGGACAGACAGAACCTTGCTGTCTGAAAGGATCTTTACTGCATCAGATACAGAGGTATCTATCACTTTCACAAAGCATCAACCAAAATGGAGCATCAACTAATCAGATACGCTATATCTATCTCGAACCGTATCAATTCTACTTGATTAAGCCACTGAGTCGTCAATTCTCATAAACCATTACACAAACTATCAACAACTAGGTACCTACGCAGAATCTCATGCTCAAAATTCAAACTTTCTTTTCCATGTAATGTTGATTTAAAAATTCCAACTTTCCCAGCAAGATCAAACATAGAATCCAAAATTTTTACGAATTCCCAATTTTTCCTCGAGAGAATGAGCACGGGTCTTTCAGGAAACCTACGATCCTGTAGATGCAATGCAGTATCCAGAAACAAGATGCAGAGCACGAATACATATATACACACGCATACAGAAAACTCGCAAATCCAGAAACCTGTAAGAACGGAGATCGTGAAAGATCACACAGGGATCCCAACGAAGGCAGAGAGGCTGGGGTTTATTGGAGAGACTTTAGGAGAACGGACAAGACCGGTCGAATACAGAAAACCGTACAGTGGAATCCAATCCGTCCCTATGTGGTCAGGTCGACGACTTCGCGAGGGTCAGTCTGGACACGTGGCAAAGCATTAGGTTGGATGGGCCAGATCCTCACAACCCATATTGGGCCTAAATGGGCTTTCTTTGGAAAAAACATATATCATCCATACAACTTGCATTTGTTTAAATGTAAAGTTTTTTTTTTATAAATAAATGTAAAGTAAAGAATACAAAAGATGATGGACATTGTACATAAATACACGCCAAAACTGTACACAGACAGAATGTGGGAAAGAAATCCGTGTCCGGAACTACCTTTCACTTATTATGATCTGTCTCAAAAACAGAGGACGAAGACACTGACGAGAATGGCAAAGAAGCGACAGGAGACGTGTTCCGACCAAAACGAGAGCTGACGAATGCCTCGGCCAAGGCTGTCCGAATATTAGGGTTCGACGTTATCAGACGTGTTATTGCCTCTGTACTGCTGGATGAAGCTTGTGATCTGTTCAACGGGAATCCGTTAAAGCTCGAGGTGTCGATGTATGTGCGACGATCCATGGGATCGAATGACGAGAAGTTAAGAGAGGCAGGAGAAGAAGGATAAGAAGGTAATGGGTAGTTTGGTAATTTCTTGTTGGGGTTTGGCCGAGTGAGGTCTAGGGTTACGGTCGGGTGAGAGTTAGAGGTTGAGATGGATAAGTTTTGAGAAGGGAAGAAGTAGCTATGGCCGGAGTTGAGGCTCGTCGAGGAGGAATGAGACTGGAGAAAGGAGGCGGCTGCTGACGTGGCAGAGGCCATAGCCGTTGCCGCCATCGG